CTCAGAATTGACTGTTCTGCGTTGTTCTAGTGATACGGTTGCGACATGTCCAGTTTTTACGAAAAAAACAGGCGACCATCTGTTTGGAAGTGCTTCGTGCGCGAACAACTTTTGTAGGATTTTGCTCATCTTGAAACACCCACACAGTCGACTGCTGTTTACTTTCTGGCTCATACGCGTAAATACACGATTCATCACCTGTCACGATGTCATATACGTGTTTTGAAGCACCGCGATGGTATTGTTTTAGCATTTCTTTCCACCAATTGACACGAGCCTTTTTTTGAGCGATTGACAAATTGTGTGGGATCCAACGCGAACAATTTTTTTTGACAGTCAAATGTTCATGCAATATTGAATGTATGCTGGTCCCACTAATGCCTAAGGTTGTCTCAATCTCACGATAGGACACATGACGATCTTGCAATATCAGTTCACGCACAGCATCAATGGTTTTCGGAACAATTGATTTTGGACGACCTTCGCGAAATTCGTCTTGGAGTGAACTACGATCACGATTGAATTCACCATACCATCGATAAACACTGGTCCTTGATGGAACTTCATCCCAAAAAATTGAATTAAGTTCATCCATGACCTGTTGCTGAGTTAATCCACGTTCAAAGTTGTAAAAAATAATCGCACGAAAAATGTTCGATTAAATTCCATTTTGGGGCCAAGATGAATCTTTTAAGTTACTGTAAACACAAATAGCGCTCGTATGTCAAAACGTTCCGAGGACGTATAACCTCAAAACACCCAACTTTACGATAGAGCTGTCAGATGCCAGATTGCAACACCACGTTTGCCAAATCCCGAAACATAAAAGGCAACCTTCGTAATGCTGTGCGAAAAACCGCATTTTCGGCTGAAAAACTTGGGGCCTTGGTAACGAAAAAGTGGACAAATCCAGTTGCCAAATTTAGAGGGGAAATCTTCTAACACGTGCTGTAGCCAGAATCCATGTTTTGAGTCTTAGATAGAAAAATCGACTGACGGCAAATCGTGTCTTTGCGTCTGTAAACAACGCTGGCGGTTTGAATTGTTCAGCCGATGTTCTCCAAAATTGATATGATCCAGTCTGTGAACGCTAGCACTTCAACAGTTCAGCCGTTCAAAATTGATATGCCCCAATCAATCTGGCTGATGTCGCGGCCCCCTAAATTTGAAACGGTACATTACATAAAGCCCCTGAGGCAAAAAAAGGGCTCCATCGATTTGTATTAAATTTTGTTGGATACTCTGAAGGACCTTTAAGAGAACTGCGCAGGCCTCATGTTGGTTGAAAACACCTTTCTTTCGAAAATTGAAAAAAATTCCAATTGTTTTCGTCATCTTCCTACAACTACAACTATAAAGATCCAATTTTTCTCAATGAAATGTGTTCATCGACGCAGATATCAAAGAAAGTCATGTTGAATTTTTGAAAATATGAGAATTTTTGGAGTAATGGGCGTTAAAGTGAGTCGCCTGCTCTGAAAATAATTATTTTCGTGATGTAATTTCAGGTGCTTCGAGGCAGTTAGATGCTACGTAAGTTAGAATGTGTATATTATTTCATTATTTTTTGTTCGTTTCTTACATTGGAACTTGAGCTATACGTTTACAAATTAATTTTTTAGAAATTAATAACCTATTTCAAATATTGCCATCCTTCAGATCCTAGCTCCCAATTTACATAGACTGATGCAACGTAAATTAGAATTTGTATAGTTCATTTTATTATTATTTATATATTTACGTTATTTCATTTTAAAGATAACCAGGCATATATGATCGGTTAACTTCCGACACCGATCTCCATGCAAGTTGTCACATCTACGTGTTTTTCACCCAGAATGTTTATGTGCTGTCACTTCGGTTGAAACTCAACTATATGTGCCATTTTTAAAAACGTGCTGTTTTTATAATTACTCCCCTCAAGAGTTTTCGGAATATTTCGAAAATGTTATTGAAATTTGATCCTAGGAATATCCAAACATGCCTGCAGTGGTCCGCATGCCATTTGCCTTTCACTGGATTAGAACCAATCGCGCCAGATTCCCTATCCCTCCCGTCAGGCTGAATGCCAGCCCCGGGATACGCAGGTCACCGGCAGATAAGCCCTGGTACAAACCAATAATTCCGCCCACTTCAGCAACTTTGATGTAAAGCAGGTATTCCCAACCATTTTCATCGACACTATTTGGAACAATTACTGTCCCCATACGTTATTCTGTACGACATAATCGTAACACAAATAGTATGTCCTAAAATGTCTTCACTGTTGTGGAATGGTCATACAATATTGAGAGTTTTAAACTGGACACGACACATCTCCAGTGCGTATTGCAGGGAGTATTTTCTTCCGCTATAAAATATCGTTATCAATACATTGTTATATATTTGTTGAGTTTTCTGAACGTCCTAAGTTGTGACGTAGCCAGGTTCTCGGATACCCCGGTGCAGAATAACGAAATGGGAACTCATAACTGCAATTAACGTGAAATTAAGTTTTAAATACATTGGATATAAATAGAGTAAAAAGTAAACACGAGATGAAGGTTGTTTTATTCCGCGGAATCTTATTAAGGCTCCTTGCTTCCGAGGATCGGTGTGGTGGACCAGTTGCAACAGCCTAGCAGCACCTCTGATCCAAAGGATGAACGACGGATACGAAAGAAAAGGAAACAATTTTCTAATTTATTATTGTTTTATTGCTCCATCAGGGAATATTTACAAGGCGGGCCACAGTCATCAATTAACGAAATCCGCTACAAATAATATAATCACTTGAATCTACAATATATAATAAAGCAATGTACGGATAATTCAATTAATTACGCCGGCGTTGTTAGCCGAATTGTGTAACTTCACTCCATAAAGACACTGAATTTAAGCAACACGAGACTCCACGGATTCCTACACGGGTGACAGTCCGGGGAATCTCGGTAACTAACGGCGCGGAGTCTCTGGCCGAAGGGATAAAAGGCATTGACTACGACGTTACGAGGAAGGTCTAAAACGTAATGGAATACTCCAGAAATTTATGTATGCTCAATGCCCCAGAAGGGCTAAGAGGCGCAACAAACTTTTTAAATTAATAAATTACGATTTTCCCGAAAGAGTTAATGGATTTTAAACGAATCGAAGGCGAATTTTAGATATTAATTGTGGGTTTTAGTACGCCATTATTTATCCAGAGGATTCCGAAAGAGCCTTCAATTTCGTTTAAGTTTTCAAAAAACCCTACAAGCGCCGTGTCAATATTAAAGGGTTTTTCTTAACTTTAACGGGAGATCACAAATAAACCGCTAGTAATGGAAAAGTATTACAAACCTACCTTGATAATTGCCAAGAAACGACTAAGCTAAGTTACAATAGTTTCATTAATACTTCAAGAGCTTAGCAAGAATATGGTCTCGCCACGTAAAATAAGGCATTGATTCAATTCAATTCACACTGAAACCTTCAGAATATTTTGGAACGTTCAGTAAAATGTCTTGACATTTCCTAGGTCACATGGATTTTTTTTTACACAAAACTTTCAATACAGTTATCGGACTTCTAAAAAATACTAATTTCATCAAAACTTTTTTCTTCTACTTCTAGAAAGCATTATCGTTAATTCTCAAAATGTCATTAGGGGGAATGAGCCAAATATATTTTATATTTATGAGTCAACTATATTTCGCCTTCGAAGGAATGCATAAATGTACGTGGGGAAGGGTGCGGGGCGGGACGGGCAAGAATGAAATTACACGAAATCCGCTATTACTGATGGTCTTATTCATGCCATCTGTAGAAGTAACAGGAAAATTACTTTTATTACAATGAAATTGGAAAGGGGCAAGTAGAATTTTCGTTTAAGTCGGGGTAATTTTCGCACTTATTATTCAAGAGAAAAACAATGCCCCTGGGCACTTCTGTAACAAAATAAGCTTCTAAAGCATGTCCAACAATACAATATAACTACCTGGCAATCAAAATGTAATAGCAAAAAAAAAATGGAAATTGTTAACAAACAGTGACTGACCTTACTTTATACACGGTACTGCATTATTAGTCTTGTCTTAACGGCAAAACGAAGCCACGAATTTGCTATCAGAGAAGCAGTTATCGTCTACAAATTTTTTACAACAGCAAGAAACCAAGAACTTTGTTCACTTCATTAAAGTTACCTATTGTGTATTTGGAATGATTTTATCCCCCAAAATGCATTTAAGAAATTTCATCAATATCCCATTATCTAAATATTGACTTTTAATAGGTTAAAAATGAAACGGACCAGAAATATTAAAATTACTGTAAATAAAACGTTTAAACCACCTGAGATCACAAAACCAAAAAAAAAACAGTTCCCAACCTTTGAATTTACTTTAAATAGATTTTATTTATAGTTTAATGAATAAACCACTTCCCATAACTTTAATTTAGTATTACTAACATTATCAAGACACACTTCATTTGAATGAATATGCACTGCTGTTTCTTAATATTAAAACACCATTACATCAAAATCAATTGAACAAAATTCTGGACTTCTAAAACACTGCAAATTCCAATCACATCTAATGCTAAAGCAGTTGTCAAAAATACCCAAATTTTAAAGGCTAATTAAAAGTTTTTTGAAGGAAGAAAATTGAAATTAATTTGGCTAAAATATGCGGCGAAAAAATATAAAAATATCAGTCATGCTTAAAAATCATTTCAAAGCATTTATTACCTTACAAGCATTAATTCTGCAATATAAGAAATCTACCCTATTCGATAGATATTTTCATAACTAACATGGAAACAAAATTATCCAAAAAAGGACATATCTGTATAATTGGCCAATGATACACAGAAAAGTATCTGCAAACAAGTACTTTACCGAACATTTTACAATGGTTGTAACTGAGAAATGATTCCACCAAAACAATCGCTAAAAGCAAAGATAAAGGAATATGATGCTATAACGCCATTTTGTGGAAACTACAACGCAGAAGGGAAAATTTCAGCAAATAACTTAACTTTACCTTTGAACGAGAGAATCGACGTCAACCGTCTTTTCTCCCTCGGTTCCTTCATCAGGAACAGGCATTGAAGCTAGCATTTCACGTTTATCTTCTCTCTTGCTACGTGGCAAACTCCAATGGAAGTTTCTGGAGGGTGTTGTCCGCAGAACATCGCGGCACAAAGACAGTTTATGCTCAGAATTTCGTAGGACTAGATTTAGCTCTCTTTTGTTATGAACATTTTCCACTATGTTTTTCACCTTAAAAATTGGGCTGAGCAAAGACGAATATTTCCGCAGCATTTTCAGCGGAATAAAAATATTCTTCCACAAGACACACACGTACGTCCTTTACCTGCCCAGCATAATCCACAAGAGGATCCCAGAAGGCCAATGCGTCAGCGCGATAGCAACGAGAAGACTACATACCCCCACCGCGGTACTGAATACTCTATACAATAGCCCGACTAAAAGCAATCTTTTGGGATCGGAAAAAAAATTATAGAATTAATATAACAACAGGTACATTTGTTTAATTACATTCTACCTGGACTAAACTATCTAACATTTCCTCAAAGAAATGGAATGCAAGTATTTTCTAGTGCACAACACTTCAAACCGATTACCGCATTCGCTTTCCACTGTGTACCAACATGGTAAATAGCAAATTGAAAATTTTACAATAAAATAAGTGCATAATAATTATAAAAATTTGTATAGTTACTCTACAATTTTATAAATACTCAAAAAAATTCGAAACCTTTTAACTACATTTGAAAGAAAAAATGGGCTAATTATTATATATATGGTTATGATTTGCAACATTGGTATACTGTAAACATTGTCCAATCCAAACATTTCGGAAACAGACGAATGGTGGCGGAGGCAAGATATGGAGTAATGGTGTGGCTGAGAATGGTCGGGTATTGAATATGAAGATGTGACATGTCATAGTGAAGTTGTTTGGCCATGTTAGTGCACTTTTCAGCCAATAGTGAATAAGTGTGTACAGACAACTGTGAATGGTGTATGTAAGGACGAAAACTTTATGTGCAAAAGTATTTTGTCAAATAATGCCCTTAGTTTTGGGCATGTACTTTGACTAAAATAAAAAAATCAAATAAATACATTTTCGAATTTCGTTAAGAAATGATATGGCTTCTTTAGAAATATATCAGAAAATTCCAGAGAAATGTACTTTAAAATATGCAGCTGTCGGTGCTAAAATTAATGGCATTCACACAGACATTATTATTAATGAATACAGGTAAATATACTTACATATTTAAGTCTTTTAATCATTACAATATTATATAATAAAGAGGTACATAACTGCCATACTAGAGGGCATAGGGTCTATCACAGATTTTACTCTTGCAAGTCTTCAGTGCAAAAAGATCCTTTCTGCATTGCTGCACAGCCTTTTAATAATCTTCCAGTTCTCATAAAATCAGGTGATAATAAATTCTATAAAACATTTTTTAAATGTCAACTTATTCATGTGTGTCCATAAGTTATCCAAATTGCTTTAAGTTTCCTGTAATTATTAACTTAAGTACTGCTGCAAGAGTAACCACTATTTGTACCAGTCTTTCTGTACTAATTGTAATATAGTAAGTAATGTAATTATATTGCATGATATTGTAAGCATTTACATTTAGGATCATCTAATGCAGTAAAGTTATTGTAAGTTAATTAAACTACTGTTGTCAGATCTTCTAGTTTATTAGTGTAATGAATTGCGAATGTGACTTTTAAATTGTTAACTAGACTTCCTGTAGTTTAGAGTATTGTAAATTATTGTAAGCATTTAAATGTTTAATTAATTATGTAACTTATCAAGAAAACTATTCATATTATTACTGAAAGCTAAATTAAGTTTAATTCCTGTTATAACTTACATTAATTAAATATTTACTGTCTAATTAATTTCACATATCTTCATATGCAATTTCAGTTCATGTAAATTTATTACATTATTACAGTAAGTTAATGTAGTTTGAAAAATGTGATTGTTACTGTAATTTTATTAATTTCTAAACAGACTTTGCTTAATGCTCTTTGTAAGTTTATAAGCAATAAAATATTATATCACCTTTTTAGTTTAACCCAAATTTTATTTTGTAGTCATGCTTTTTTTCATGCAAATCCCATATCTAATTGCCAGACACTATATAGTTACAAAATAAACTAATTTTAGTAAAAGGCATGAAAGTTCAAGATTACATTATAGAATTTTGTTATTTCGTATAATTAACAGTTCATTGTAGGTGTGATTTCTGTAAATGTGAATGATTAAGTTGTAAAGATTTTTGAGACTTACAGTAAATCTATTGTTTAATTAAAACCATGTTTTCATTAAATATTTTCTTTACCTATAAAATATTATTGATTTTCCAGTAATAGGTTCTTCATAATTTTAACTCAGTACAAGAAATTGGGTTCATTAATATCGGTGTACAAGGAAACTCAAAGAGACAGCAGTGGAAAGGACGAAGTATTTCAAGTCAAGTGAGCTGTGTTGAATTACTTTGAACAGTATTTTCTTTCTAAAACATTGCAAATAATTTTGTGCATTTTCTTTCAGAACCATTCAAGGAAAAGAAGAACCTGATTGGGAACTTGCTGCACGATTCTTGACAGAGCAAACTAATATCAACAAACCTGTTCTGTATTCTATTTGCTTACAAGAGTGCTCATTAAAGACTCTTAAAGCTTTGAAAGATATTGTAATAAAAAACAAGTTGTGGTGAATGCAAGTCAATAGTACAATAACCTATATTCTGTTATATTTGTTTAGTAAAGAGTTAATGCAATGTTTGCACAAGTTGTAATAGGTCCTCCAGGAAGTGGAAAGACTACGTATTGTTATACTTTAATGAAATTCCTAACTGAACTTGGTAGGAAAGTGGCTGTTATAAATTTGGGTAATGATTTTTTTAGATTTCTCACTATGAATTAAATAAAACGAAATGAGCTAGTTTGTTTTTTCTCCCCCTCCAGATCCTGCAAATGATTTCATGCGGTATGAACCAGCTGTAAATATTTCAAAATTAATAACATTAGAAGATGTTATGACTAACCTTAACTTGGGTCCAAATGGTGGCTTAATGTATTGTATGGAGTTTCTAGAAAAAAATTTCAGTTGGCTTTTGGAAGAAATAAGGCGATACAAAGGATATTACTTTATATTTGATTGTCCTGGCCAGGTATTGCTTTTATTCATTCATGTTTGTTTATTTTATAAAAAAAATTAAAAATTCATAATTTTTATTTGTGTAGGTTGAGTTATATACCCATCATGACTCAATGAAAAATATATTAGCCAAATTGGAAGCTGATGGATTTCATTTATGTGCAGTTCATCTTGTCGATTCACACTACTGCAGTGATGCTGGTAATTAGATTAATTTTAATATTCTTTTTTATCAGCATTTTAACACACGAAAAAGGACATATGTGGAGAGTTGCTTTCAACAAGCAAACATAATACTTAACGTTACTTTCGAGACATTTTACTAAAGCTTACATCATTGTTCAATATTGTTTGGATAAATGCATCATGACTGTAACCATTTGCATAATTCCTTATATAATTTTGTAGTATATAACAAATGTATTTGCAACTTTTAAATTTCAAATTATTAAAAAAGTATGTAATACATTTGTTAAGTTGTTTCATTGTGGAACTTGTGCAATTTGCCACCCTTGTTCCCAGCTTCTTATTGGATTGCAGTTCGTTACACTCTTATGGTAACAAACTATGTCATATAGCAATGTGCAAAATACTTCGTTATTGCTTGATGCAAATGTTATGAAATTGCCATTTACCTGTCAAACATCGCCCAAATACTAGAAGAGAAAAGTATTTGCAGAGAAGACATTCTTCATAATTATAATTTATTTTTTGTTTGTTATTTTTTCCATAAACATACATACATATATATGGAGTAATATATGTAGTAGAGGGAAAGTAATGTAATGCTGCGTGAAAAACCATCGGATTTTCAGCAGAAAAAAATCGTTAAATTGCTCCAATCTTTTGCGTTTTCAAAAAATTCAGAAATGTAGTTTTTTGACTTGTCTGCCAAATTCTCAATATTTTTATTTGCCATTATTTGTTCACAATATTTTGTTTAGGAGTACATGTGCTTTAAATAATGTTATATAAAGTTTCTCGAAAACTCTACTGTTTTCTGTGAAAACTTTCAATATTCCGCATTTTCAGAAATGCTCAAACGCCATTTTCTTAAAAACGTTTCCAAATTTCTTTCTTCAAACTTTTCAAATGGATAGTGCTAATAACACTCTTTAATATGTCTGAAAGTTCATTTCAGGTTTTTTTTATTTCAAAAATTATACAATTGTAATTCTTTTTAAAATATCTTTTACACCGTTAACATTCACATTTCCAGGAATTTGTACTCTATTGCATTTGTGAGTTAAAGTGCTTTAAATGACTTTAAATTCAGTTTTTCTATAACTCAAACATTTTCTGGGAAAAAGAGCTTCAAGTTTAGAAATTACAGTAGCCCTTAAACACAATTTTCTTAAAATCGGCTCCAAATTTTTCAATGGAAATTGCCATTTTTGACATGCTTTTACTCTTCTTTAATATTCTTAAAATAATATTTCCATTCTACCATTTTGAAACCAAAAAATGTACTTTGGCGGCAATAGATGGCAGCTGGCAAGAGTATTTGTCAAGTCAGAATAGCTAGCCCAGACTAAAGGAAATAAAAAACTAATACAGGAAAGTCTGTGCCATTCTGTAGTACCACTAATTTCATGTTGTTGATTAAGTGATTTAGTATTATTGTGTCAAAGAAAGTCATTTCCTGCTTTCAATCATTCCTTTTCTGACAAATAAGTGAATCTTGACAGATGCAAATTGAGGGGGGGGGGAATTAATTTTGAACTGATACTAAAGACCATAAAACAAGAAAATTCGTGAAATTCTGAAATTTTGTTTTTAAATTTGATGGTGCATGCATATGTTGTATCACATTTTCCCCCCAATTGTGTATTTGGCAATTTTGATAGTTAATATTTGCAGGCATATTTTAAAATTTGATAGTGCTAGAAAATCCTATCTTTATTTACTAGATGTACTGATTTCCGCATTTGTAATTTTTTTAAATGTCTCTTTTTCTGTTTATTGATGACAAATTGTTATAAATTATTTTATTGATTTTTTAGGTAAATTTATTTCAACTCTGTTGATGTCTTTATCAGCAATGCTGCAACTGGGTCTTCCCCATGTAAATGTGTTATCAAAAGTAGACCTCGTTAAAAAGTTTGGAGACAAGATGCAATTTGGTTTAGACTTCTACACTGAAGTTCTTGACCTTAATTACTTAGTTGAATGTCTTAACGAAGACCCATTCACTAAAAAGTATGTATAAATACTGTTATATTACAATGAGTGAATCCAAGTGTTCACTTTATAAATAATATTATTATAAGCTTAGTTTGAAAAGTGATGTAGAAATAAGTGTGTAAAGATTCTTTCATATTATTTTCTTTTGTATTTTGAAATTTTAGCAGTATTTTCAAAAATAAAAGTTGTGTTATACTTGTTTTCAATATGAAAAAAAAAAAAAATATATACATTATCTTTGCAATGATGAAAAATGCCATCTAAATAAAAACTGGGATTGTCAAGATTGAAGCTTTATACACTTCTGTTTTTACAATGAGTGTTGTACTCATTTAATATGTTTGTTAAAATGCACAAAGCTTTTAGTGTGAAAGTTGAAGAAAAAATAATTAATATTTTGTTTCATTGTTTATTTTGAAAAGCAAAATAGGTTTTGCTGAAATTTCTAAAATGACATATTTTGCCTTGTTCTTTGGAGGTGTGCTCTTAATTATTTGAAGTTTTGTGAGATTTAACTTTATTACATTTGGTGAACTGTGTTGTACAGATAATCTATTAATTGGAACTCTCTTTTTCTCTCAACAATCACTTCTCGGTAATACTTGACCAGTTGGTTGATGTTTTTCATGTTTGACTTAAACTTAAAATTGACTTCTGGAATTAAATCAGATGTTTGATCACACGTATAAAATAATTATTTTTGGTATTCACACCAATGTAAATCTCCTGTGTTTTACTTACGTGTTTTATGTTCATGTGCTCTTCTAAGTTTCTTTACTTCTCATGTTGAATTATTTCAGATCAGTGAATTTATTTTAGTTTGAAATGCATTTAAAGAGGGGCCATCCACAAATTAAGTAATGCAAATTGTGAGTGTTTTGAATACCCCTCTCGCTCCTGTTACGTGGGTTCTTTCTCTTTCTTTCTTTCTTTCTTTCTTTCTTTCTTTCTTTCTTTCTTTCTTTCTTTCTTTCTTTCTCTTTCCATATACCATCATGGATGATGCATTGGCTAGAGTCAACTGCACCAATTTGGATTGATCCTGGAATATACTACACATCAGTTTTGAGTATTTTCTTCGTCATCTTCATCGTCATCAATCAAAAATAATCAAAAAAAATCTTTTCAAAGATTCAATAAGAAATTGATGACAAAATATTTCTATTTATTATTTAATTAACAATTTAATAACTTGAATATATTTATTTTTATTTTTTTTCTTTCTTATTATATCTATTTACTTTTAAAAATTGTTTCTAAAACTAATTAGTTAGTATTTTAATGTTATTAGTGTAAGACTAAAAAGAAATTACCATATTTACCTGAATATAAGAAGAGTCGTGTCTTTACACCTTGAAATTCATGGGGGAAATACACCCCAATATAAGGCAACCCTTGTTTTTATAACTTGATATCAGTTTTCTATTAGGTAATCGAATTGAGAAAAAAAAAACAACAACTCTATATTACTTACATGTTTATTAACATTATGCATAAATTATTTTGTGCATATGAATATTTAATACAGTGTATGAATTAAACTTCAATTTTACTACATCCACATTCATCATTTAATCATCTCTCAATCATCATCTTCACTTGTTTCATCGTCACTCAACTCATGTCCATCATTCTCACTCCATTACACATCATCTTCTGTGCCATCTATACTGTTGCTTACACAGCACTTTTTGAAACCGTTTATTATGCATTGAGTTGTTATAGTATTCCATGCAGTTAGAATTCACTGACCAACTGAAGGTTTTTTGATATCAGGTGTTAATGGGTAGTTCCCTGATAAAAGCCACTCTTCTATTGGCGTCTGAGTTGGTGCTTGAAAGATTTGTTCAGTCACATCAAGGACTTGCAACTGTGAGGTCATGCCTCCTGGTATCACTACTAAATCTGTTTTTAAACTAGCAACTACCTTTTTCACTTCTTCTGTAAGGTGGCCCTTAGAGGCATCAAGAGTTAACAATCCTCTCTGCTGTAATATGGCTCCCGGTAACATCTTGAAGCCAAGAAATCATTAAGCTTTCAGTCATCCACCTAGATTCATTGTATTTAAAAATGATTCCACTTGGTAGTTTTTCTTTGGGTAAATTCTTCGTTTTCAAGATAACAAATGATGGTAGCTTCCTGCCATCTGCCAACACTCCCAGCATGACCGTAGCATGCATTTTTTCGTTTCTAGATGTTTTTATCGTAACTGAATTTACACCTTTTTGTAGCCACTGTATAGTTAGAGGGCATGTCTATGTACACGGGGGTCTCATCGGTCCCATTTGACTCAACAAATTGTTGTGTTGATGGCACAATTGTATAATGTACTTTTGGTGCTCCAGAAGTTTTTCGTCATAATCTGCAGACAGCTTTTGCGATAGGGAAGTTGTTCTACGCAGATTGAACCTTTTCCTTCTCATAAACCATATGCACCTGCTGACACTCACATTGAATTCCTGTCTGGAAATGTTTCTCCTTCTTGCTACTTCTAATGCTTTCATGCGAATGCTGTTTATAGAAAATACGAAACCCTTGTTACGATTTATTACGAATTCGACAACGTCATCGTCGATTTTGGGATGGCGTCCCATTTGTGGTCCATGGAATTTCCTTGTGGAATTACAAGATTTCAGACTTCCTTCGTACCTCCCCAACACAGCTTTACTATTGTTCGTTTGTTCAGTGAGATGAATTAGTCACAATTTAAAGTTAGCTTCTTACCTTTGACATCGTTCCACATTTCTGGGAAGTTATACACAATGTATCAGCACACAACTACACAACATGACACAACCACCAAGCACGAACACGTCTACCAAACGGCTACTATAGTCGCGGTACTCATCGATGCGGATGGGGAAGGAAGACTCGTAGCCTACGAGTCTCTATCTCGTTGGCCACGAGGAAGGCTTTTGCGACATCACAGCTGTTACAACACTGCCACTAAGAAAAACTTAAATCCTATCTAATGCTTCTGTGTAACGGCTGGGGAAATTATTCTACATCTTATTGAATTATTTGCGATGGTGTAACGGTTAGCGTATCGGACTGTTGCACCCAAGTTGGCGGGTTCAACCCCGATTGAATCCGTGGATTGTTAAGGGCGAAAAAATCCTTCGTACAGCTCCCATCGGAGGGGAAGTCAAGCCGGCTGTCCCTTGTTAGTAGATTTACTTGCATGTAAAAGATCAAGTCTAAATGACACCTCTGAGCTAAATTCAAATAGCCAATTTCTCGCCCAAGAAATACCTCCTGAGAAGCTAGTTGGTGAAAGGAACATAACACAAAATTTGCGTGGCCAGACAGGCCACGCAAATACAGCCAGCAGGCCTCATGGCCTGAGTCTCGCCACGTAAAATAAGGTATTAATTCAATTCAATTATAAACACATCCAATAATAATAAAGGAATTTTTATTACAATAGTAGAGGAATTTCTATTAGAATAATAGAGGAATTTCTATTATAAATGACTTGACTTAACAACATAATACCATTGATATTGTGTTTTCATCATAACCAAATATAAGACGATCCCCGATTTTTAAAGGATGAAAATGGGAAAAAATCCTCGTCTTCTATTCGAGTAAATACGGTATTATAAATTAATGTCGATGTTATGTAACAAGAAATAAATACACCACCCCTCCCCCCATGTATCACAGCAGCATAATGCTGCCTCAAACCCACTCCCTCCCTCTTTAGCATTTCATAATTTATGGATGACACCAAAACATTATGAAATGTGTTGATCAGCAAATGATTGAATATTTAATTTAAAATTTGTGAAGTTTTGTTCTTATTTTATTTTTTAAACATTGGTAGTATTTTCAAAAATTAAAGAAGTATATTTTCCTTTTTTTAAAAGTGCAATATTCATTCTTCTTGCTTAAATTCCTATAATAAAAATCCTAACTGTGTGATGACCATATAAAAACCAAAGGACAATATAATTATTAATAAGTGAGAATGATTACACCATTCTAGAGGAGATTAAGAATCTGCTTTTAGTTCAATGTTCATGTGTAGTTTTGTATCAGTAAAATAAATTTGACACTGACATATTAGAGTGAAAACACAACAGTGGGCTTAAAGGGGTAAAGAATAATTTATGACATTTCATTCTGTTAATTTTTCCTTTGTGAAAGCAAAGTTAGCAATTCTTAATGTATTAGAAAGTTTTGTAATTATAAGTAAGTGATTCCTAATATGTATTATTAGATACTTTATTCACTTTTAAAATAGTGTACTGATCTGGGTACTTTTGAAAATTTCAGATATGGCAAGTTGAATTCAGCTTTGGTGTCACTAATAGAAGATTACAGCTTAGTTTCATTTATGCCTTTAAATATCAAGGATCGGGAGAGTGTGTTAAGAGTGAAGAATGCTGTAGATAAAGCTAACGGATACATCTACGGTGCAAGTGAACAACGCAGTGTCCACAGTCTTTTAGCATGTGCTGTGGGAGCAGAGAATGAACATGAAAGAATTGGGGCAGATAGAGATTCATATTCGTAACATGAATTGTGTTTTTATTTTGAAATTCAGAACCATTGTGTGGAGCGACTTGGCTTATATAAAAAGCTGAAAGTGATTCTTAGTGATAGTCTTGATTGAAACATGCAGTGCACCTCCATTAATAAATACTGTGAATCCAAAATGATTTGTACTTATGAACGAAACACTGTAGTTTTGACAGAAATTGAAAGATCTAAATAACGGCCAAAATGGGGAAACTCGTGCACTATTGCACAATTGAGGATAAGTAAAGTCTTTTTTAAATAAATTCTATGTTTTGTATGATTGTTGATGAGCAATGATACTTTGTATGTCATCATCAATTCTCTTCAATGATGTGCTGAGATGTGAAAGAGTGCAAGTAACAGAAAGTTACTTTCTAGAAAAGTGAGATTAAAATTTAGATTAGATAATTAATTCTCTTAGGATGTTTGGGCCCTCCATCTTCATTTTCATGTGAAATGAATGTACAAAAAATGTTTGTCTAGTTAGATTTAACTCTTTGAGTAACTTTTTTTGGTGTTTGTTAACTTGTGTAAAAAACTTGATTTTGTTTACGACTTGTTTTATGTACTGAAAATTATCTCGATCAATAGAGATTTCCCTGAAATCAGTATTTTCTCCTTTATCATCATCAACTCATCAACTGTGTGATCTGCAGCAAACAAAATATGGAAACTATATTTTGTGAATATGGCATGAACTATCATCATATATTAAAATATAATTATTACTCTCTGTGTTTTAAAAGTTTTTAAATGAACACAACTAAATAATTCTTCAATTCTCACCTTAGAGGTTATGAATGCTATCTTTTACAGATGCAATAGTTATTGTTTTCACAATTTGGTATAAAAATAATACAGTGAAACTCCGTTTATACGTTTCACACTTATACGTCTTTTTCATTTATACGTTTTTGTTGGAAGGTCTCGGATAAATTCCTATAATTTCCGTGGCAAATTATTTCATTTATGCGTTTTTCGCGCCTATACGTTATTTACAAAAGTCCCCATGGAACCGTATACCGTTTAAATTATCCCGGTGTGTCGCGGGGCGACCTGCGACGACAGCTCGAAACTTGCATTAAGGTTGGCTCCCGCGGAGCGACCTCTCGCTTGGCCTCTGAGCGGCCAAGACCGCGCGAGTCCGCGAGGTGGTAGAGCAAAGTCGGCTCCCTGGCCACCTCCGGCAGCGGAACTTGTCCAATAAGTGAAGTTTGTGCATTGACTGTTCAAAGGCTCCCATTTGCTCGCTGTAATTACCTTACGATATCCTTCAGTTAGCGCCATGGCGCAAGCAGCTAATGAAATTGATCACTTTTCCGCGCGGCGCAGAGGCTGTCGCCAGGCTGTGGCAGTCGTGCTCTTCCTGTCGCTCGACGAACACTGCGGAACCTCAAGTAACTTCAATCTTGAAACCGAAGCAACTAGCTGCGTGTCACCGCCGCTAGTTGTAGTCCACGCAGGACACGGCCTTTTTTTTGCCTCCGCGTTCATACAACGCGTCTCCCCTTGGGAAGCGTTGAGCGCTTGGCGCTTTGGGAGTAATTCACCATTAACTATTGCGCTGGAGTAATGCTCCATTAATTAACATAGTCCGTCAAGTCTCGCCTCAGTCAGTTGTCAAGAGGACCGCCAAATAGTATCACCGCGTACGCGCTCCTGCGTCGCTACCGCTAACCAACGGTCAGAATTGGTAAGGAATAAGGATAGGGGTAAGGTTTAGGAGGCTTTACAGGGGGTTGGACTAGCCACTGTGAAGCATGCGAACTCGTTTTATCGTAACAAGTTTACATAATTTCTACGGGAATCGATTTCTCAGTTGTACATTTTCCCCTTCTGTCCCCTGAAATATGTATAAGTGAAGTTTTACTGTACTACTGTACGTATGAATGGAAAGAAGAAAATCATTACAGTTGCTTTTCTCATTTATAAACATTACAAATGTTAACTTCACTTCAAAACAATAACACTGCATACTTAAACAACTCTACATTGGTGGCCAAGTACCTTTTGGCCTCAAGAGAAAACAGTCAATTTACTTTTCAGTTTGTCTCTTACCTGATCACAGCACCAGATGGTAGTGCAATTGTAGCTCTTGGTCATAATAATTTTGGATTTATTAGGTTCCCATTTCTACACATACCTTTTTTTATCATTTAGCTTTTCATCCCATCAAATAAGGGGTGACTTTGACCATGGATTACGTAATTCGTTTACTTAATCGAATTTTTTAAAAAAACACTGCTCCAACGTTGTGAAAATTGGTTAAGCTCACCATTTGATACAGACTATGCTTTTAGTATTTTTAAATTAGAAAATGCTGCACATCCACAGTATATTAATATAATAGAAGATACGGTTCTATGTTTACTTAGAACAGATCATTTCTCTGAGAGATGTTTCTTCCAACTTGATCGTGCTGAACTGTTGAAGGAGATGTGACATTTTCAAAATGCCAATTCAAATCTTATATATCTATTTAAGAAAAATCAATATTTAGTAACAAAATAGTTATATAGAGTTGAAAATAAATTAATGCAAAGGCAAGTAACAGTAATAAAGGCCTCACCATTGATATCTGATGGGAGATTAGATGGCCTGTAACACACAGTAAGATAATGTGAGTGCTTAACAGAAGTAAGATGATGTTTGTTCTGCAGATTATAATTAGCTTGTTAACAAATTGTGCTGTCTGAAATTGTCATTTCATTATGTTGTCAACAAATTACTGCAATCAAATTAAAAAGACTTAAAAGATTTTTTTAATATGCCCTGGACTTTACATGATAAATAAAACTCAAGGAATGTTTTGTTATTACTCATTTTTTATTCATGTCATTTTAAAGTATATTTTTCTGAAAAGTACCCTACAAAAACTGTGTTTTGGGCCAAAACTTGGATGAGTAGGAAATTTGTGTAATCGACATTAATTGTGAAGATATGACATTTTGACTCGAAAAACCTTTAGTGAGAATGGAAAAACCTAATTAATTGCGACTACTTTTCATCCAGATTTTTTTCTTATCTGCTGGCAAAGGATTTAGCATTCCTGAGTTTTCGGAATGATAGGACTTTCAGATATTTTGGGATGTATCTATGTTTTTTTCAATTCGTGGCAGTAGGCGGAACATACAAGAAGAACAATCAATCCTTTGTGTGAAGGTCACAACTATTGAAACATAAGTTTAATTTGTTGCCAGCAAGGAACAAATTAGAGGTTCTGTGTGAATTTAATTTATTTACTTAGCATAAAGAATTACTTGCAGGGAGGTATTTGTTGGCTGCAGCCCCATCCACAGTATGTGAATGTAATAAAGGCAAGAACAAGAGCATGGTTGTAAAGAATTTAATGTGTCAAAATACTTCTTTTATTTGCCATTTATAAACATACTATAATAAAATGTAGTACATGCAATATAATACTTTGTTTATAAAGTTTTTTGTAAAAGAATTACATTTTTGTTTAACATTCAGGAATGCAACTGAAACAATTGTGATTTGAGTGTATTAATGAGATGAACACTTTTTAACTTGAATAAGTGAGAAAGTGGAGAAGTAAGACACCTCTTAAAGTGAAAATAAAGTATTCCTCAGACCTCAAAGTTTAATCGAAATGAATCTTTCAGAATACCGTACAAATTATTTTTTTAACAAGGAAATCTCATTTCTGAAATATGCATTAAACCAGGAAATACATTTACAATTCACCGGAGGATTAGAAGAAAATTACATATAGTATGTAATTTTGGACTAATCAAAAGTTTTACTGAAATTTGGCTTCTGCCTTACAATTTAATGCATTGGAAGGTAGATTTTCCGGGCTGGTAGGCCGTGGTCCAGTTGGCATAGTTGGGCCAAACGTTTGGCGACTACGCCCATGAAAGCCTATGATTTTATATAATTCAATGCATTGTTCTTCTAATGTTTTGAAGAAAAAGGTGTGAACATTTTTGAAAAATGTCATCATTCAATTCAAAATTCTGTGAAAAACAACATACACAGTTTGATATGTTGAAGAATAGAATGTGTTAAGAATCATTATTTTCAAAAGTTGAGTAGGGCAGTTTAAAAACAAGTTGACTTTTGTATTTTTGAAAAATCAGAGATTTGAATTATAGTTGGACTCCTGCCACATTTATAATAGCACTGTCATAAATTCAAGCATAAAATTGAGAGAGACAATTTGGAACAATTTTTGAGAAAATTTTGAAGTGTGATTTCTTATGAAGTATCCACCATTGTTAAAAGCTCTATATGAAATTCTCAGGGTCTAGAGTTCAACCCCAATCCTCCAGGGATTTTCAGTTTTTGAAAAAATCTTGTTTGTGGTCAGGCAGTTGCTCACAGATGTTTTGAATAAAGCACTACCTTTTTGGGATTAGGGACTCATATAAAAAATACCTGCAATTTCCATTACAATCTTGAAACTTTTTTTAGCATTGCACAATGGTTTCAATACTACATTAACTACACGGAAGTAAATGCATTTATTGTCATAGGAGCAACATTTGTAACTGTCTTTAAAAACTTTCATTCTTACCCTCAATAAATGAGGGTAAAATTCATAAAGAATAATTTTCTGAATATTAGCAATCTTTTCTGAAAAAGTCTGCCTTTTCGAAAATTGCAGTAAGTTAGCATTACGAAAGAACAATATTGATTATAGCGATTTGCCTGAAATAAAATCTTATTTCAAAAAATCAGATCTTTAAATCAAGACTTCTTTTTCTAAAAAAATAGTAGTTTTTACATAAACTCTGAAAAATACAAATAAAAAAAAATTATCATATCCGACCCAAATTTATCTAGGATAAAACAGTTAACGGTTAAAAGAATAGCTTAGGTCTCATTTTCGTTGATCTCTGCAAAAGGTAGATAAGCAATGCGAGAAAGTATGTACTATTGTAGCCGTACAAGTTTCTATTGCAACTGCACCAGCACTAAAATATGCATCTAATGATGAACAATAATATATCAAAAGCTTAACCATTACGCTGAAAACTATTTTCTTACAAGAAATATTGCACACCTTTACCCAGCGCGTTCCCGGGTGGAAGTAGCGTGGCTCACAGACATTTGCAATTTTTTGGTTTGTATTGCGCACAAAACGTGAGTACACAATGCGTTAGAGAAAGTAATTTACAGGATTTATATCAGTTTTCGGTATCGACCCACGAAGTTTTTCTTCCGCAGCACTTCTGTAATTTGCATAAGCAGAACGCGAGAAAGTAACTTGTTAAAACAGCACCCATATTAACATATCTGTCATTTGTAAAATGCATGTGAAAGTATTTCTATTAAAGATAATAAGTCTACAAATTCGACAGTAAAACTGCGTTTCACCCAGCCATAACATCTCCCAACGATGAGAAGGAATTCTCAAAATTTCAAACTGCCGGACTAGCTTGCTTTTGATTTCCGAATGCTTGTACTGTTTCATGTGCAATAAGATGAAATGGTCGGCGTGTGTCTGCCGCTATCGAAATGAAGTTACGCTTGCGTGGGTGGGTGGGCGACCGTAGTGCATGTGGATGGGTAGAAGGGAGGGTGGGCGTGCGTGCGTGGATAGAATACGTGTACATGAGCAAATGCAACTCCTAATATAGAATTTCGTATTTTAAAGTATTTGGTGGCGTCGTTTGCGGTCATCAACTAGTGATGTTAAAACGGGATATCCTGTATTACAATCAATCTTGGGCTGTGTACTCTTAATGTACTTACGTACTCTTAGTCATCCTAGGGTAAGAAAATAAAACCCTTCAAAGGCTCTGCTAATACATAAGCAGGAGGACTTCGGCAAAAATTTTTTATCTTGTCCTGTAAAATTTTTTGATTTCTTTATTTCTTCCATGTTTCGTGTTAACGCATTAAAAACAATTACGCGCAATTATTATAACCAAATGATATAATATGTTCAGTGCAAGTCTTTGAGTGAAGAAGAAAAATGTTCTGTTTGGAAGAGTAATTTTTTAATGAGTGCTGAAAATGCTAGCAATGATCAACACTACATAACTAGTACGGGCTAGTTAACTAGTACGAACGGTTAACTAGTTCGAACTAGTACGACCGAAAATGCTAGTAATGATCAACACTACATAACTAGTACGGACTAGTCAACTAGTACGGACTACATAACTAGTACGAACTAGTACTATGGGGTACGTAGGCAAATCATGTACAGAAGTGCCACGCACACTATCATCCCGCAGCATTAAAACCCCTCACAAAACCTCAATCCACGCCATAGCAAAACTATTTCTTTTAGACTATCGTACATTAACTGACTTATTTAGTATATCCTAATGCATAGTAACGTTTCCTTATATTTTTAAAAAGCTAAGATTAAGCCGCTTTTCAAAAAATTCAACAAGTTAAAATTCAAAATTATCAATTTCTCTTTTGTCTTTTTTTTTTTCTTCGAAAACTTTAGAGCTTTTACGTACGAATGA